GGGCGCGGCGGATCCCACTCGCACAGCAGTGCACTCGGTGCCCCGCGCAGGGTCGCGATGCTGCCCGGTTTGGCACTGGTCCTGCTGGCCGCCTGGACAGCTCGGGCGCTGGAGGTGGGTGCCGCGCCTTGGAATGGGGGTGGGGGTACGGTGGGGACACGATCCCTCTAAGTCTTTCGTCCAGAGAAGCTGGGGGCAGTTGAGGGGCCCCCTGTCCCCTCCATGCCCTACTCCCCCGCTTGCGGGCGCCCTGCGCATCCCCGCCTCCGGCCCAGCCCTGCCCCGGGGACGCGCGCTCTGGCCCGCGGAGAGTGAGCGGGCTAGGCTTCGGGCGCCTGGGTCCGGGCCAGTTAGGGGCAAGAAGAGGAGGAGGCGATCCTGAGCTCAGACCCCGACTCAGTCCCTGCCTGGGGGTCGGGGGAGGCGAGAGACATCCAGATGGGAGCTAGGGGAAGAGAGCACGTGGGGAAAACCGAAAACGCAGTCCCTGGATCCTGTCCCCAAGTCTTGACCTCTGCCCTTCCCTTTCTCTCTGGCCCTGGGAAGGAGGAGTCGGGACAGCTCGGGAAACTGGGCACCCCCGTCCCACTTCCCTTTGCCTTTCCGCCCGGGTTCACCTTCCCTTCGCATCCCCAACACCCCTTCCTTGCCCGACGTCCTCCTCCTTCCTCTTAGCGGCTGCTCGGGCTGCCGCCTGAGTGCGACCACAAGCAGGGTCGCGCACCACCCTCCTCAGGCAAACTTTGTACATTTCTGCGTCTCCCTTTTGTGTTAAGTTGCGAGAGATGGGAGGGGTCAGAGACCCACAGCCACCTCGTACCTTCCGCAAGCCTAGACATCCCCGGCGTTCGCTGGCACCCTCAGATTGGCCTGGAGAAGCAGAAGGTCCCCGGGAACAAAAGCCGCGACACCCCGCCCTCGCCAGCCCGGGGCGCGGTAGGCTGAGCCGCGTTAGTCTGTGCGCCACCGAGGCTCCCGCCTGCCTCCCTTCCCCGCGCTGCGCGTCTGTCCCGGAGGGGGCTGGGGCGGCTCCAGGGAGCCTCAAGGCCCCTCTACTTCCCACCCACCCCCATCACCTCCGAGCCTTGCTAATTCGTTCTTGGTTGTAAAGTCCTTGGGGAGAAATACGCGGAGAGTGGGGTGTGCGTCTGGAAAGGCAGTTGCGGGCGGTGGGGAGGCACGAGCTCTCCCCTGCCGTGCATCAAAGGAGGTGTTTGTGCGATTAAGGCGCGGCCTCTTCCCGGGCAGCGCTGGGCACTATGGTTTAGCTCCTCTGGGGGCGTGGGATGCTGGGAGGGTCCTCAGGGTCTTTTTTTTAGGGTGCAGATAAAAAGGATTGAATTGAGTGAAGATTAAGACGGAGAAGATGGCGCCTCTGCAGTGCAGCAAAGAAAAGCTGTGTGGAGGCTGCAGCCTGGTGAAATCCACCCACCACTAGGTGTATAACAAGTCTTCCCCATTCAGCCAACTCTCGAACATTCAGCTCACGCCCGTGCAAAATGACTATTTTCCATTTTATCTGAAGATGCCTAGAAGTTGTTTGCGTTGATAGTTGGGGCAGAAAAGGTTGTATTTGACATCGTTTGGGTTTTCATTCAGTATCTTACCCTTTGTAGCCCCACCTTTCCCCATTTTTTCCCCCTTCCTTTTCCCTACCTCATGGTAATTTTCCAAAAGAGCAATTTCTGGACAATTGTTTTCCTGTAATTCCACTGAGGCTACTGACTATCACAGCCTAGTGAAACCACACTGTGGCTTTTTAGTCCCTAATTTACAAGGTCACTGAACTTTTTCCCCTTCTGTGTTTTACCTACAAGTGGCTCAGGAAACACCTCGGAGCTAGTTATGGCAGTTTGTTTTAAGAGTTGAAGAATTTGGTTGACCATTAAGAAATGCATTTAATTAAGGAAACTGGTTTTTCCCATATTTAAATTTACTCCTACAACTATTTCAGTTTTCCTGATTGTCTTACACACAATTAAAAAGCACAAGTAATTAAAAGCATATCATATTCTTTATATTTGAAGCTTTTGCCAAAATGTAAATATTTAACTTTTGGAGCAACATTTTTTCCATGTGAAAGAAGGCAGCGTGCAGGCAGGTATAATTCAGACTTCTTTTTTAGCTGGTTTGATTGCATGTTTTGCTCCTTCTGCCATCGTTTTGGACATTTTCACCGGTTACTGTCACCTCCTTCAAAGGGTGGAGATCAGATTCACATTGGTTCATATGCAAAGCATTAATGGAAAGGTAGGCAATTCACTCTAACGAGGTTTGAGGGGGATTTATCCAGCTAAATCTCTGTCCTCTGAAAAGATGTAATTATGAGTTGCCTGTCTCTTGCAGGGCTTAGAAAATAGGTCTACTGCAGATGGCTCGAAAAAAGAAATGAATAAGGGCAGTGATAATGGGGCCTCGGCTTCTTCTGGGGCAAATGTGATTACCTGAGCGGATTTTCCCTGGCATAGTGAAAGAAGAGGCGTTAAAAGGGCCCGGATGTTTGTTGATTTAAACTTGCTTCCTCTTAAGTTTTATTTTCCTGTGTTGTGGGGTTTAACCTAGTCACAATTATCTGCTTTGATAGCGGTGCTAATTCGCAGATTACAGATCCCTACTCACACTGACTAGGACTGTGCTAACAGTAGGTGCCTCAGCACAACACAGGGATGCTCAGATTTGATGGAGGGCTGTAAGGAGTCCTGGTTCTTGCTGATCCGTGGGAAACCACGATAACCACAGGGCACCCGAGCTCCTCTCTTGTCACCCCAACCAGCAGAGGCACCTGATGGGCACTCGGGAGGCCATTAGTACTGCAGAGAAGGACTCCAGGCAGACTGATGATCCCTGGTGCTGGTTGGGAGAGTGAAGAGGGACGTGTAACTAAGGGTCACAGGGTTAAATTAGGAATGACTGATTGTAAAAAGAAAAAAAGGAAAAAAAGAATGTGATCCACTAAATATTGGGTCAAAGGAAAAACGGAGAGGTTTTCTTTGTGGAAAAGGCTTTCTCCCTGTTGGTGGAGGAGCCCTGATTTTTACTACTGTTCATGGCTTACTAGAGACTTCTAGACAGATACTGGTATGAAGATGAAGGTTGTCGATCATTCTAGAAAGAAGCAGAGCTATCATGTGCCTTTTAGGTGGCTGTTAAACTGCCACTAAGGAATGTGGTAAAATTCAGTAGAAATGTAATTCTGACCTAGGTGGGGACATGTGTTACCTTAAGAGACTAACAAAACATCTTTCATTAATGCACTTCTTTGACTCTGCCTCGTTATGTCAATTACAAATGCAAAGATAAACCTTATAAATGTACTTTAAAAGTTAAGCTCCAGGACTAAGGTTTAATTTGGCTTGCATACACCTTATTTCTCCCCACCCTCGTTCCCTGATCCCCAGGAAGTTTGCAGAGTAAATAAGACAGGCACATGATTACAAAAGAAAACACAAAGTGTTAAGCACCAAGAGGAAAGTACAAATTAAGCCATATCCTGAGTAAAACTATTAGCAGTTTAAACATCTATATTTAAGGAATGAAGAAACAGGGGGATGAGATAATCCTGGAGAATTGCCTGGTGGTTCATTTTCAGCCAGGTTTGTATCTCAGGTCCTGGGAAGGGTGATTAAGTCTTTGCAGTTACAGTATTTGTTTACCTACCTCTGTCCACTTTTCCACTCTGAGACACACACACACACACCCTGAGGGTGCGGGTGGAGCAAGCGTGGGATTTGATTTTCTTAGTCTCTCCATCTATTCATTTGGAACATTTTTTATTGCTTCTCATTATGAGCCAAGCTCTGTCCTGCAGCCCTGAA